GATCGAAGCATCATTAGAATTTGAGATATTCTATGTTTTTAGACAATTACTAAAATTTTGTACATTTCATGTCTATAAATTAGACATATCAAGCCCCTCATTTTATGAACAAAGAATCAAAGACCAGAAAGTTCCTAACTTATGAACAAAAAAATCAAAGACCAGAAAGTTCCTAACTTACACAAATCTGATGCATCTTTCTTCTGTTTCCTGGGGCCTTAATTTCATTTAGGTATATGTCTCCCCTCTGACTAAACAGGATGCTCAGGCCAGTGCTGGAAATGTTTAAGTTTCTGCCCTCAAAGTGTCCCAGGAATAACCTGGCAGGTGAAGTGTTTTAAGAACATTTTGCACACTGCTCCATGGCTTGTTCTGTCACTTAACTGTCCACGGGCAGTTTATTTCAATCCATAGGGAGCTAAAACTCTTTACTGAAGGACTGTTCCAATATATCACTTTAGTAGAATTCAACCAAATCCTCTTAGCGTCTCTGTGAAGATAGAGGTTGCTCAGAGTCACACACTACACTTCAACCACATTATGAATCTGCGCTGTCCTGATTCTAAGCATCAGTCCGGCTGTTCACTTGGAGTTGTAAACAGTGTGGTACCTTGGTCAGCATGTTCTCCTCTCCACACAGAACTTCCATTTGGAAATTTCGGTAAGTATTGTCAATGTTGCTGGTTTTATTTACTGCTGAGGTGATTCCTGGGTTTTTGTCAACCATAACTTGGCCTAAAAGGTGAAAATTCATGATTTAACATAAATGAATTACATTTTCTTTTGGTTTACAAATTAAAACTGTACTTGGTATGTATAACTCTGCCCATAATTCTAAAATCAAAGTACATACGGAAAATTTATGGATACCTTTAAAATTTTTTTTGAGAACTTGTGGTCTATTGTTTTCCACATTTTCCTTAACTATTCTAAAATAAAAGCAAAAGGGCTGACCATATGACACTGACAATGGAATGAGAAGCTATGACGATGCTCACAGCAAATGGCCTCAGAAACACTAGCAGAGAAAGTCATACGTTTGCTGGCTCCACAGCCAAGGGTTCTTTTGCTGTGGGTCTGAAGCAAATGCCTACAGTTTAGAAATGTGTGTCAGCAAGCAATGTTTGCAGCCGAGGACACGGGTTCTTCAGAGGCTGACCTAAATGAAAATGTTCTCCTACTTAAATTGATCTGTTAGTCAAACACTTACCATAGCAGAAAGGCACAAAGGCAATCATAGACATCAGAAATGACTTACTGTTACTGCATCTTTTGTCGACACTTGGAAATTTTATAGACATCTATGTTCTCATTTTATAAGGAAAGAACACCATCTTTAAGTTAGTAAAATGTACTGACTATAAATTCACTGAAATACAATGAGATTATCAGAATTCAGAATATGTAAAATAACCAATAGCCGCCTTATTGAGTTCTGCTTATCATACCTGAACTCAATTAAAACTTTTTGAAGCTATGAACCCTCTCCCCCAACTCCTCCCAACCACACCCTACCCCACTCAACTTTGTGTCCCACCTGTCAAGTCCAGTTTGTGCGGCCCATATACTCATGGATGGGTTCCCTTTCATTAACTTCTAAGATATAAAGGTTAGTTTTAAATGAAATTTTAAAACATTAGCAGCAATTCTATAGTTCCATAGGAAAGCCTTAGGGCTTTGGTCTTCCTTGGTAAGGCCACTGAGCCATGTCCCCAGATAGAAATGTCTCACTTTTAACCCTTGCACACCACCACCATTTTATGAGAAACAAAGTTTTGAGTCAGAGTAGCAGGTATTATGTGAAAGCCCACATCTGACCCTGAGCTGGGTCCCCACCTGCAGGTCACCACTGTGCAGTATTAATGTCTTCTGTCAATAAAAAGAGGAGGCAGAGTAGCGTTATCAAGTCTAATCGATGCAGAGCACTGAAAGCTACATTTTAAAGCTGGGAATAATTCTCACACATTTTGAAAATTACTGTATTAAAAAGTAACCTACAGAATGCATGTACAACAAATATTTATATAAAATGATTTTGATTATCCTTCCAGCCAAAGAATAAAGGCCTTGAGTTTCCCTGGAGCTACAATAGTAGGGTGTACATAGCAGTTTCTAAAAGGCTAGGAGTACTTTAAAAAGCGTTAAAGTGCTTAACATAAAGAAGCAGCTTAAGTAGCTAAATTACTAGTTAAGTCATTAGTATTGTATATTTGAAACACCAAATTTCAAAACCTCATACTGACCATTGTCCCAAAGGCCTAATGGCTTTTTGGACCAAAAGGATTTTGTTCAATATAACAAAGAGGTTAGGATGTGTGTGTTTGTGTGTGTGTATGTGCGTGTGTGTGTGTGTGTTTGTGTGTGTATGTAGAGGCCCAAAGTCTCTACCAACACTGTGACTACAAAGAAGATACTTCAAAATGCTTTTCAAAAAGGGGGAAGGTGCTTATGATTTGGTTTCAAATAAAAACTAACCTACCCTGCTTCTTTAAATTAGCATTTAAAAAAATAAGCACTAAAATTAGAATGTCATTTTTTTTCTAGAATATGAATCTGACTATAATCCACCTACCAATTAAATGCTTGAATGGCAGCTGATGATCCCGGAGATTCAGGTGTGCAATATGTCCAACCCTGCTGAATCCAGAGGTCACATCTTGACCCTCAGGAAGCACAGCTCTCAAAATCTCTTCTGACTTAAAATTTTCATATGTTAGTTCCAAGTTGTACTGGGCTAACTGTGGGCTGACATCAAGTTCTTTTAACACACTGAGTTCTGCTTTGTCAAAGGAATCAGCAGTAAGCATCCTGTAGGGATCCAACATGATCAGCCTACTGTCTTCGTCCTTAGGATCCTCGATCACCCGCTTTATGCCCGGGCGTTGCAGGGCTATTCTCCTGAGGGCTCGCATCAATCTGTTGATTACTTCTTTCTTTGCTTTAAGCACAGGAATGGACACTGTCTTTTTAAAAGCTGTTCTATCAAGTTCTGTCATTCCTCTAACACCAGAGGGTGGTGAAAATAAATCACTATCTCTCACGTCTGCTTCTATTTCTGGCATGGTTGAGAATCCTTGTCTTTGATCCAACCAAAAAATAGTAGTTGCTTTCGTAAGTCTCAGCACCAGTGTCTTCCTTGTCAGTGTAAACAATATTGGTTCACTGGGGAGACACCATTTTGCTTGCAGAAGTCGTCTTGAGAATCCAAATGGCTTCCATAAGATTCTAGGGAAAATATCAAAAACAAAAAAAAAAACCACCATCAAGCTACATGAGAGCACATTCACAGTGGCTTTTGAGAATGAAAATATAGTCTCTTTCTCTTTCAAGTCACTTGCCAAGGACTGACAAAAGGTTTGGAGGGCAAGGGAGGGCAGTCTCTCTTGCCCCGAATGGTCAGAATGATCATTGTCCCTGGAAAACAATACATTTGCATCTTCAGTCTATTTTCCCCTAGAACAGAAAGATTAGTGGGCTAGCAGCCTCCCTGTACCCAAAGAACTCTGCTCACAATTTCCTACAGAACACACAAAGGATAGGAAGTGTGAAAGGGGCATCTCTAAATGCAATGATCACTATATATAAAGCCACCAATGGCAGTATTTACTAGGATATTCTTGTGGGATCTTATTTTTACAGGTTGTTGTATCCAAAGCTGTGTTATGAAGTTTGTGAGCTAAGGGGTAGGTAGGCTAATCACCCCAAGTTATGTGGCTGCTCAGTGGCTCAGCAAGGCTTAAGTCCATTAAGGTCTTAAACGTAGCTCACAGGGAGAAAGCTTGCCTAGCACACATTAGGCCTTGGGGTCATCGCCAGCACCACACAGTATCAGGCATGGTGGTGCCTACCTGTAATGTCAGCATTAGGAAACAGAGGATTAGAAGTTCAAGGCCAGCCTGGCATGCATTTGAGACCAGTCCTCAAAAAAATCAAAAAATCTTGGTTAAGAATGACCTTAAAGCTGGGGGTACAGCTTAGTTGGAAGAGCATGTATCTAGAATGCACATGCTAATTCATGGGCTTTCAGCATGATATAACCTGGGCATGGTGGTGCAGGCACTCAGAAAGCAGGAGATCAGAAGTTAAGGTCATCCTCCAGGCTCGTCTGGACACGAGATTTGTCCCTTTCCACATGATCTCAGCATACTGTTAGGATGGCTTTCATACTGCACTGCTCTATGCCATGCCTATACCTAAAAGCTTTAGTATTTTGATAACAAAGCTTTACTGTGTTGTTTGAAGCACAGTACTAGTGATTCATTTCATCTTTTAAAATATCAAGTACATGGTAAAGGATCCTGTTACAGAACCCTACAATATAAACAATGAAGTTTAGGTTTACACTAGTATTTAATGAACTAGCACTGAGTGCTAGTTTACTGACACTGTGTAAATGTAGGTGTCCGTTTTCCACTTGTAAAATGTGGATAAAAACCATGAAAAGATTTTTGTGGTACTGGGAACTTAATCCTGGGCATTACTCATGCTAGCCAATCCTTCTACCACTGAGCTACACCAGTCCTCACCATACGTTTGACCAGCCCCCTTACCAAGGGCTCCGGCCTTGGCTTAGCGGCCGGTGGACAATGAGATGAATGGCCTGGTGGCCTTTTTGCTCTCCTTGGGCGAGAAAGGAGAGCACGGGTCCCACCGCAGTATCGTCGGGTCTTTTGCATCACCCAGGACACTACGGCCCCCTCACCAGCTGCAGCTTTCCAGGTCCACAGTCAGCCGAGGCTACCGGCTTAAGACCGAACCCTCACCTCATGCTCTGGTGCAGCTCGGAAATGGGTCTTCTACGGATGGTGACGTCATCACTGTTGGCCACAGAGGCCAAGTACGGTCGGACCCTTAAGGACTCGGAGCCTCTCTTCCGGGTCGCGATTTGCTACGGGATCCCGGAAGGGCCAAGCCCGTAGCTCCGCCCTTGAAGCCGCTCTGCCGAGGCGCTTAAGGCTAGGGGAAGCGGCTCGCTGATTTATTTAGCTGTTGGTCGCGGAGCACCATGCAGGCGTCCCGGGACAGCATCCAAACCGAGCCCGGCTGGTACGTCTCTGTCCAGCAGCCGGAGGAGGCGGTGGCTGCAGAAGAGTGGAGTCCGTTGCTAAGCAACGTAAGTGGGCTTCGCTGGCTACGCAGGGCTACTGCGCTTCGGCATCTTCCAGAGTTTGCAAGAAGAGTCTAGATCTGGAGGGAACTGACCCTGGGGTGGGGCCCGAACCACTGACCTCAGCCGAGTTTGGAATGTGGCAGCAGCATGGAGCACTCAGTCAATAGTCAGGCTTGGAACACTGGCTGGATGAGCCAGAGTTTTGTCACTCACCGCTGTTTTGTGTCTTTGTCGCCTCTGTTTTCTGTAGCCTTGTGAGGTCTTTGCAAGAACATCACAAGATGTTTCTTTTCTGGATCTAATCATGGGGAAAGGTGAGCTATATTTTAATGCAGAAGTCCCTGTAAGTAAAGATGAAGAGAGGTCTCTGGTAATGTGCACATAGTTCATCCTTAACCTAAAGCCGGTGTAGTGGGCTGTGTGTGCCCCGGGGGCCTCCGCACCTCCCTTGGATCCCGAATGTGCAGCCCAGGACCTTGGACATACTAGAAAAGCGCCCTAACTCAGAGCTATTTTCCAATCCTCGCTTTTTAACTGATTCCCTGGACTGTAACCGCTGATGATTTTGCTTATGTTATCCCTGTAAGTAATTTCTGATCATCCTTCTTGCTGGGAGGACTTAATTCATTAGGTATATAAATAAAAGATTAGTTTTGCAGTCCTAGTACTTGGGGAGGAAGCCTTACGGACAGAAGTTCCATGCTGACACTGGGATTTTTCAGGAAGCATGTGAGCCGAGGCCTGTTCCTTCTCTTGGTCTCCACCCTGTGCTTACCCTATCTTGATCTCTTGATGTCACATGGCTCTTACTGCAGCCGGCCTGGGCCCTGTACTGAAGGAGGTAGTTTTCCTGGAAGACAAGATCCTCGAGTTTTACCAGTGGGTCAAAATAAAGGGGAAGGAGCAAGTGTTGTGTCCAAATTTGCTTTCTCTTGGTGTGATAACAACTATGACGGAAAGCAACTTGGGAAGGGAAGGGTTTCTTTCATCTTACAGCTACCATCCATCTTGAGGGGAAGTCAGAGCTGGGATCTGGAGGCAGAAGCTGAAACGGAGGACATGGAGGACATAGTGACTTGCTCCTTCTGGCTCGCTCAGTTTTCTTTCCATCATCCTCAGGAAGGCCTGCTTAGGATGCTACCACCTAAAACAGGCTGTGTTGTTTCACAGCAGTCAGGAAAGTCCTCCCACCCCCAGGTTTGCCCACAGGCCAGTCTCTTGAGGGCATTCTCCCAGTTGGATTCCCTCTTCTCAAATGACTCGAGCCTGTGTTATGTGAACAGAAGAACTAAGGCACATCCTGGTTAGTTAGCGTTCACACAAATCCTCAAGTTTGTAGACGGGCTCCATGATTTGTCAGTGATGTCTCGACATACTTTAGCTTCCTCCTCCAGACGTCTAATGTGGTTAAATGGTGTGTTTACAGGAACCTCGCAGGCAGGGATCCCCGGGTGCTTCGTTTGGTCTCTCTGTCTTTAATGTGATGAACGCCATCATGGGAAGCGGCATTCTTGGCTTGGCTTATGTGATGGCTAATACGGGTATCCTTGGATTTAGGTGAGGCCTGTTTTCATATTTTATCATCACGCTTCCATTTTGATAAGGAATTTTGATTCCATAAGTTACCAGTCTACAGTTTCTAGTTGGATCATTTCTGAGGTTTTAGTGCTGTTTTGTTCCCCCTGTGCCTAACTAGTCTGTGGTTTGGAGGAATGTTATATTCAGTCATGCATTGTTTGAGAGGATGGGCATTCTTGTAGGAAACTCTGGAAGGGAACCCATGGCTCTAAAATAGATAGCATGGGCTTTATTTGAAACAGCACCTGCAAATCGGGACTCTGGTATAAGAATCAGAACCTGTTGGCTTATAGGCTGTAGTAGTTATAGGGCACAAAAAAGAAAGCAAAGGCCACTGAAAATATTTCCTTTCTGGCAGGTTGTTGCTAGGGGAAGCTTTGGAGATAAGGTAATCGGTTAGGATGTCTTGTGATAGATAAGCCATTCCTGGGGTCCATAGGGCACAGAGGGTAAGGATCTAGAAAAACAGGTTACTTTATTTTAGGAATTGTTATTGTTTAACCAAAAGGGGGGAGACAGCACCAAATGGATTAGTCATGGCTAATAGTTTCTGAAGTGTGGTACAATGCTGTTTCATTTTTGGGTGATCCTTATAGAGTATACCTAAACAAACCTAGATGTTGAAGCCTTCCACACATCTATACAGTATAGCCTATTGCTCCTAGGCTAAAATTTGCCTAATATAGTGTATTCCACATGCCAGTATAGTAAATGCTGTAGCAGTTGTAATATAATGGTATTCGTTTATCAAAACATGCAAAAGATTCAGTGAAAGAAGAAACCAGTTCCTGGATTGGACTGAGAGGAGCCAGAGAAGTAGTTTCAAAGGCCTTCTGTTTCATTTTTTAAAACTTTTTGATTCTTGTTATAATAGCCTTAAAAACAAACATATCATATACCGTATAAAACTTTTCTTTATGTCCTTATTCTATAAGCTTTTAAAATTTAATCTACTCTTATTTTTGTATTTTCCCTTTTCTAACTTTTTCTTTGAAACTAAGCCATAAGCACACCCACTCCCAAGAGCCAGGATCGTCGACATCAGTTTACACATCTTGACCCTGGGGAGGTGTTTAGGGAGCAGGACACACCTGAAGCTGCATTGCCTGTGACAAGAAAGCCTTTTCTGAAGCAGCTGAAGGACTGGTGCTGGTGGCTGGGAGGTAGAGACAGGAAGATCGGGAATCCAGGGTCTTCCTCAGCCGGGCAGTGGTGGCGCACGCCTTTAATCCCAGCACTTGGGAGGCAGAGGCAGGTGGATTTCTGAGTTCGAGGCCAGCCTGGTCTACAGAGTGAGTTCCAGGACAGCCAGGGCTACACAGAGAAACCCTGTCTCGAAAAACAAAACAAAACAAAAGCAAACAAACAAACAAAAAAAAACAGAAAACAAGACAAAAACAAGTTCAAGTGAGACCCTGCTTCGAAAAACAAACAAACCAACAGCAACAACAATTAAAAAGTATGCCCTAAAATCATGATTTTAAAAAATTCAGTATGATAGTATAATAAATAGAGGAACTAAGGGTTGCATTATTTATCCCTAGTGGATAGTCAGTGTTAGATGTAGAAGCATCTGCTGCACTTTATGTGACTGGCAGCGTAGTCTCCTTTCTCCAGCTTCACCATAAACATGAGTAACGTGTTCCCTGTGACAAGAGGACGGCCATGTTGTCGCTAAGGCTTCATTGTTAACCTCGATATCATTGTGTGGTACAGAGCTGGTGTTGATTTTTGTTAATCTAAAAATGTGGCTAATGGTTTTAAAAAAAAAACTTGATCCACAACCAATTTATAATTTTAAAAAAGTCTCTTATTCAGGCTTATTTGTGTCAGGTTGGCCAATGTGAATCAAAACTTATCAGTCATGCAAGTTAAAAGGAATTTTTTTAAGTGCAAATAAAATATCCTTCTCCTGTCTTCTGCTGTTAAATAAGACTTTTTTAACGACTAGAGCCCGGCATTATGTTCTGTGCCTATTTTCAAGAGTTGGTTATGGGCCAGTGTCTTAGTACTGTTCTATTGTTGTGACTACACACCATGACCAAGGCAGCTTATAGAAGAAAGCATTTAACTGGGGGCTTGCTCACAGTGTCAGAGGGCATTGTCATCATGCTGGGAAGTGTAGTGGGACTGTGGTAGGCTGCAGAGAGGCAGGCACTGGAGCAGAGGACGAGAGCCTACTTTCCTGATCCACCTACAGGAGGCACTGAACAGACATACCTCCTAACCCTTCCTGATTTGGTCACCAGCTGCTCATCAGGCCTTCAGTGAGCTTGGTGTGAGCCTGTGGGGCTGCTCTCCTGTATCCCTGGTGTGAGCCTGTGGGGGCGGGTCTCCTGTATCCCTGGTGTGAGCCTGTGGGGGCGGCTCTCCTGTGTCCCTGGTGTGAGCCTGTGGGGGCAGCTCTCCTGTATCCCTGGTGTGAGCCTGTGGGGGCGGGTCTCCTGTATCCCTGGTGTGAGCCTGTGGAGGCGGGTCTCCTGTATCCCAGCAAGTTACCCAGGCCGTTGTTGTCCACATAGCTTTGTATGTTTGTTGCTTTACTGCCATCGCTGGTTTTGTATTTTGCAAGTCTCCCTCTGTGCTCAGGCATGAAATCCTTTAGAACCAGATCTCTGAGCATCTAGCACCAGGTCCTAGTGCTTGTTTAGTCAATAGAGACCAACTTAAAATGCAAAGTCTCACTTCAGTTTTGCCCTTTGTTCTCAAATGTCTTAATAAGCAAAACCCACTTTTAAGTAGCCCACTTTGCTTTTGTTGTGGGATGTGCTCCCATGCTCAGCAATTTTAAAAACTATATGCAACATATTAGGCAACCCATAATCAGAGAGCCCTCCCCCCACCCCAAAAACTCTCTGAGAAAGTCACATTTTATATGCCGGAGTTTTCCATGCAGGTGTGTATCACTGACAGTGGGCCTGCTGTGTCAAATCAAATGTCCCCTTTGGTGTTGTCAGCCTGTAATTTTATGAGGTCTCTGATGTCAGTTTCCTGACTGCTTGCTACTTACCAGTAAGTATTAAGTGACTCACAAAGAGGATTTCTGTGCCTTTGGTATGGTGCACTGGGGACACTGGATTTGCTAGAAGCCTGTCCTGTAGGGATCTTCCTGAGAATTAGGCAGGAATTATTTATGCTGTTAGTTTTCATGGTGTTTACAAGGATGTTTAGATTGTGCTTTTAGAAATGTGTTAATTGCATTGTTTGAGGGTTGAGTTGGAAAGAGGTGTCTGCTCCATAGAGCCCAGGAATAGTCAGCTTGATATTACAGGTAAAGCCGTGGTTAAAGGGCCCACATCACTGGGAGGGGAGGGAGCTGGGGAAATGGGGCAGGAGGAAGTCAGCGAGACTTGGAACAGGGAAATTAGTCCTTAAAGGGGAAGACTTAGATCATTGGGTGCTGAACTGCAGTCAGCAGACAGTGCGAAGTGACGAACTTAGGTTTTAAGAAAAGTTTATTTCTTTCTGATTTCTCTTTTCATTTTAAAAGCACTTCATTTTGACTTAAGTACAACTTGGTAAATACAAAACAGTGATTTCTTTAATGTCTGTAGTTCTGCTACTCAGAGATAGTCTCTATGACTGTGAAGAAATTAAAGATCAGGAAAAAGCAAGATTGGGGAAACGTAACTGTGTTCTTTATATTTTAGCTTCCTGCTGCTGTCAGTTGCTCTCCTGGCTTCTTACTCAGTCCATCTCCTGCTTGCTATGTGCATCCACACAGGTGAGTAATACCAGCGTCTCGCTTGCCTGTCTCACCAGCCTCATGAGTTTTCACTTGCGTAAGAAGTGAATGTCTCCGATCTGATGTGTGAGAGTCAGGGTACAGCTCAGTGAAAGCATACGTATTTAGCAACCACAAACAAGGCCCTGGCTTGGCACCCCAGCACCACACACACCCCTAAAAGTCTAATTTCCAATGAGCATATGGTGATTGGGTTTGTTTTCTTGTGCTAAGGAAAAAAGCTAGCATTTTTTTGTTTTTTGTTTGTTTGTTTGTTTGTTTGTTTTTCTGAGACAGGCTTCCTTTGTGTAACCCTCGATGTAGGAACTGGCTCTGTAGACCAGACTGGCCTCAAACTCAGGCCCATCTGTCTCTGCCTCTGCCTCTCTGCCTCTCTGCCTCTCTGCCTCTCTGCCTCTCTGCCTCTCTGCCTCTCTGCCTCT